ATCAGTGTTTTGTTTATCTTTTCGTTAGTATAAACAACCCTGCCCATTTCTGGCCTTGGCTTACATTCTCCCTTCCGTTTTCCGAAGTATCGTCTGTATCTTAATCTTAACATCTTTGTCAAATGAGTTTTTGCCCTCGAGGGTTAAAGAATAAATTTCCGTCAGAATAATAGATTGTCGGCAACATGTCTTTTCTTGTTTTTGGCATGGTGATGAACAGTGCAGTTAAAAGAAGTCTCTTGCAGCGAAGTATTCAATGAACACAAATAACCCTGAAACTAGCTCTATGGTATGAATACTTCCTGGACTGGACTGGAGTCTCTCCTCTGGAATCTCTCTTCTCCCGCCTGGGTTAAACCCCTACATAGAGCTGGGTGGGGACAGTTCAAAGACTGGATTAATTCTAACTTCGATAGCGAGTTTGATTTAAGTCAGATTATTCATGAGATTTTGTACTTAAAATTTCACTTGAATAGATTTTGGAGGGATTATAATGGTCAGGATGGTGCTATCTTGTCTAAACTGTTTAGTGCGATTGCTGGATGTGTCGTTTCTTTAAATGATTCAACTGGCACATTTGTATAACTTGAAGACCAAAGTGTTTTATTTTTAAGTTTCTAAAATCTTTTTTTAGATACATTTTCCTATTTTTCAATTCGTGCTGTAAAATACAGTATCTTTCACTCGGGATACTTCCTTCTTTCATCGTGCTAACAACTGTTTAAAGACTCAATTCACAATCATCACTTGTAAGTACTTGCCGTAAACTACCTTTTATGAGCCCTCCCGCTAAAAAGCCCCTGCTGCTATAGGCCCATCTACTTGTAAACAAAATATTACCTCCGATTATAAGCCTCCCCCGGATATAGCGCCCCCTCTAGTTTAAAAGATTTATTATGATGTTTTACACCTCAATTAAAACCCGTATATGAAAAAAGTATTTAGATTAACAATGCTGTTGCTCATTTTAATTTTTTTTATTCCGCTTATAAGCCCCTCCGGATAGAAGCCCCTATTTTAGAAGCCCCTCCGTTTATAAGCCCGTCTAAAACCCGTTACGAAGTTGTATAAGCCTGGGGCTTACAAGAGTCATGTTATAGTATGTTAAATAGTTAATTCAGATGCATGTTGTCTGAATGCAAATGAACCATGGCCGGTTCCATCGTTCTTGCATTGTGTTCTCTCGCTTGTTTCCTCTAATCCACTACACAACATTCTCTCACGAGGATTTTGCTTAGTTAATAGAGTGCAAAGGAAATGCAGAAACAGTAGAAATGATTGGAATTAGGCAACCACAACGCCGTTGTGAAGAAATTAGACTACGAGTAGTCCCTCTTTCGCTTAGTCCGTCGTGCGTGGCGCGAAAGAAAACTGCAAGAGAAAAATGATTTCGCGCGGCTATTTTTTTCTCGCAGTTTTCTTTCGCGTCACGCGCGACGGACTAAGCGAAAGAGGGACTACTCGTAGTCTATGGAGAAATGGAGAGGCTTGTTTATACTAACGAAAAGATAAACAAAACACGTATATTTTAGTGATGGACTGAATTTGCAAATTGTATTACGGTTTTCGGGTTTTTGGAAACTTTAGGAAATGTCCACACTATTTGCCTTTGGCTCCGCTAAATGTTCGTAATTGCATTATTCGACGGACATTTTATGATTTAAACACGTCCAGTAAAGGACATGAATGTCAGACAATGCAAACGATAGCAAACCGCAAGTAAATCCGGTTTCGGTCGGTAGTCCCATTTACTCTTCCTATCAGACGGAAATTTGAATAGAAGAACATGATAAAAATCGATCATTTTCTCATTGGCAATCCAGTTTTGAGTCGATTACATGCGTAAATAGACTATCTACGAGTTCCTTTTATCTTGTAATTCCAAGCGGGTTTTGGCATTAAACCTTTACTTTAGAAATGAATTTAACTTGCATCTTTAATTTCATTAGAATCACACCATTTTCATAGGAAACGTTTCATATGTTAGCCTTGGTCTGAAAAAGAGGTAAAATACAACTTGGAATAAAGGTATATAAAAGATTTGAACCGAGTAGTGTTCGTAAGGCCGTACGAACACTGAGTTAATACTACCCATATTAACAATTCATGTTTCATTAATATTCAAATGTAAAACCAGACACCGATATTACTGATAAAGAATCATTATGGATTTGAATGCAAATTTTGGGTAAAAAAGCTTTTGATGCTCGGTAAGCCTCCCGTTCTAAAGAATACGTTGATGTTATGGAAAGCATTTTTAAAAGGTAGGCTGGTGTAACTTTAGGAAATACTGTACTTGTGATTGGGATATCGTTGCTGGAAATTTCTTAAATTAATGGCAATAACCTTGACAAAGCTATCTGACGACACATCGGGAATCACTATTCACACCGTTAATACCACTGTTTTTGCTAATGATCATGTTTCGGTTCTTTCAAGACTTAAATCAGAAAGACATTTCAAATCGAACAACTCCAGCATAGCTTATTTACTCTACATTGTGGATATTTGTGGTAAAAATAACAAGACAAAGTGAAAATATAACTTCACTTGCAAAGCTGTGTACACTTGCCAAGGAAAGAAAAAAATAAATGGCTCCGTGAGTGGTCTTAGAAATGAATACATTGTTTTTCTTTTAAAGTTCTGAGGGCTTCTCTATATCGAGTAAGATACTTCAACCCATATATTAATAAACGTAAAATGATTTAAACGTAGCAAAGAATACAGATTCAATGCGGCTCTAAGGAACATATTTTGCAGGTAGTTAAGATATTATTCAGGAATAATTGTTCAAACAAATTTAAAAAAATGAAAAAATAAACAGTTTATATTTCATTCGTGTATAAAGCATACTAACTAATACATAAATGTACAAAATGTCGAACACATTGTTGACTTGACGTTGGTGTTAAGTTCTGGCGATATGCTGTCTGTGAATTATAGCAGAAGTGATGTTGCCGGTGAGCTTCGAAAACGCAAAACGCAACGAGGTTCAAATTTCGGATTTTCTTTGACAAATTTTCCCTTCGTCGGATCGAGTTTTTGTTGAAGAATTTTCATGCGCATGCATTTGACACTGAACCTTTCTATAACCCTCATTGCGGGAGACAAACTAATTTTTCTGTAGGTGGCACGGAACCTTTCGATAACCTGCATTGCGGGAGACATTTTATATGCGTGAATAAACTATTAACCTAAATACACTAAAAAGTGCCGAAGTGTTAAATTAAAAATCGCCAAGCACTTTTTGAGCTAAACTTCCTTTAAAATGATCATTAAATAAAAAGATTCAACGGCACAATGATTGCGAATGACTTCCTTAACTCAAGAAATGTAAACGTATAGAGCCCAAAGAACCTTTTTTTTACCATTATCCTTTCGTAATATAAAAGGGACAGGTGTGTTCGTCGGAAACTTCAAAAAAAACCTAAGAGGTACCAAGATCTTGTTTGTGGGCTTGCAATTGGCTTGAAATGTTTTTTCACCCCCAAGAGGTACCAGTTCTGAAACAACACATTAACTTAAGGTACTCCAAAAACTCCGGCTGTGGACCTTTTTGGCTGAACACCCCAAACCAAACCAAATCCGCTCATTTAATTTAACCACTAAAAGGTATGACGAGCTTCCTTATCCAGTTTACATGGGAGTCACCCCCGGGGCTTGTTACCCATTTCATAGAGTGCTCGTAAAACGCCATATGTTATAAAATTTAAACGTAATGTGTTTTGTTTGTGTTTTTTGTTTTCTGCGCTGGATTTGTATTTAGGAGGATCAATAGCGATATTTATTCAAAGCTGAAAGAAATCGTGCAGTAACGTATTCTCCGTCTTGCTAATAACAAGTACTTTTACAGAGACTTCCATCACTGAACAATTAAAGCAAATTTCGTATCTGCCGTTTTTTGATATATCTATTCTCGGTTTTCACCAGTCTTGTGATCAAAACTAAAAATCGTAACCATTCAATAAATAAATTCAAGAATCTGGGATATGATAGATGATTTCTATATAAACAACCTCGCTAAGAATCAGGTTTGTGCTGTTTTTCATTCGACCGTTATTCGCAGAAGTGTCACCCAAATTTATAGAGCTTTGTATGGAGACGCCATGTTTGTGTTCTTCGGAGGGGCACAAACATGGCAGCCGTAAAATAACAAAAACATCTGTCGTTGAGTTTTGCTATTGAAACGAAAATTTTTACTCTAGAGTTCCGACACATTGAAATAAATTCTTCTTCTAGTGCAACACCGTTTATTTAGCAAAAACTAAAGCGATGACTCATCTTTTGACCTACGCGACGGTCTTTTAGGGCCGCCATTTTCATGTCACGCACCGCAAAAGCCTTGAGTGCTCTATTGCAAAAAGAAGAACTCTGTCGAGCTAAAACATTGTCAAACGTCATATTCCTGTAGGGTCTTTTATCTGATGAAACTAAAAACTCAGAGGGAAAGATAATTTCTAATTTTGGAATATGACTACGTCACATGAAAACCAAGAATATATTTGAGCAATAGGACCGCATGTAATTTAAATGTTTATCTCTATAAGCAAATATCATACAAAAATCCCGCGAATTCGAGAACTTTCTGGGGCCAAAGTTTTAGTTCTTGGTATGTAAAGAGCAAAATACGAATCGATGATAAATTTGAATTAAGGGGGAGATGCATTCTATTCATGCGGGACATTTTGAAGTTAACATGATGTTTTATTACTCTACAACACATAATTGCCCCTAGTTTCCTTTTTTTTTTTCTTTGTGTCCTTCGGCGTGAACAACATGAGATGATGACGTCTTTTCATGCTTACGTCGCCATTGACAATATGATGGTAATTGGTGTCCTGATGATGATGATGATGATGATTTTTAAACGACAGCCATCTGAGGTTTCTTGATTTTCCAGAAGCCGAAAAACATCAAAAAATTTCAACAAAATAACGCTAAAAAAAATCCTAAAATATATAGAAAATAGCCTCCATTTGGCTCGAAAATATGTTCGGATATTTGTCCGCGGACATCATCTGTTACAAGAAGCGAACAGTTTTCCGAGAGCGTAGTTCGAGGAAAAATGTGAGCTTTGGTTAACAGATAATGTCCAATCTTTTTGGCAACACGCGCAGTTTTGTAAATTGGGGAATATCACTGGGATATTCCACAGTTTAAGCTGGGACATCCTCAGTCACGTGATGCGTTTAGGCCAATTGCGCGCGAGCGAAAATATTTGATGGATTATAAGTGAAAATAACAACATTGGGGATAAATTTTGCTTGACAAGAAATTTGCAGATATATGTGGTTGTCATGGAAACATGAAAATTCCGAGTAGAATTAGGCGTCGCACCAAATCGCACAAGATAAATTTAAGACAAGATAACTTTAAGACAAAGTCGTAAAGGTTTTGGCAGCCTTTACTTAAAAATTGAAATATTGAGAAAGTTATCAACGGCTAACCTCAGCACGTGGGCACCGTTCCGCCTTCAACCTTCCCCTACACCACAGTTTAAATAGGGTTAATGATTTAACTAGAGTGGGTTATGTGTGCGAGACCGCACGAAGAGTATTTAAAACTAAGTATTAGCAATTCAGGTTCTATGATAATTTAAATGTAAACTTTACGCCGATGTTGTTGATAAAAGAATGGCTGTAGTAATGGATCGGGAATGTCTATTTGGATAAAAAGGCTTTTGATTGAAAGTGAAGCTCTCAGTTACACAGAAGCATTGTATTTCAGGCGGCATTTTTGTAAGGTAGGTTGCTTTGAAATACATTGTAAGGTAACACGCAATTTATAATATTATGAGAATGTCCTTGAGAAATTTATCTCTCCAAATCTCAGGAATTGTTACCATAGTTTTTTTTCCGTTGTAAGACTTTTAACATCCTAAATATTCGGATGGTTTTGTTATATTACCTGAGACAATTGACACAAAAAGTGGATGTTCTTAACAGACCTAAAGAATATATACTTATTCAAAACGGTGCCAAAGTATATCTTGAGTAATAAGGATATTATTGAGGAAAACATGCAAAAAGAAATTAAATTCAGAAAACGGTTTATCTTCTTATCTCCATATTTGCAACAAGACTTTTTTTTAAACAAACGAAACAAAAATACTTTTAATAAGTCAGGCCTCGCCAAATGCATAAATGTTCGAACAAACAAATTCTCTACAAACAAATTGTATATCCAATTATTAAGATCACTTAAATAAAAGTGTTCCTATAAACTAATCATAATGATTTACGTGGAAAGCAAACTTGAAAACCAGCTCATCTGGCTCAAATACCCAATTTCTTTGATTAATGATCATAGATTTTTTTTCTTTAAGCCTTGTTTTGCTTTCACGCTGGCGAAGTAGAAGATCGAGGTAAATGTTCCGCAGGCGGCGCTGAATCCCTGTGACTTTCCTCACAGGACACCTTTTATCCTCGTAAATAAACTAATAAATTAAATACACAGGAAAGTGTCAAAATTTAAATTAAAAATCCAGATTGACGTTTCGAAGTTTGCTCTTGTTAGTGGAAGGATCGTTAAATTCTATGATTTGAGTCAATTTTTTGTTTTTTTCTTATTAAAAAAGGCAGTTTGAGATCACGTGTTTCTGTTAACCAAAGCTCACAAAGTCTGAAACGTCCGTGTTTTTAATTAAACGTTTTCGCACCATTGAAAATACTTTAATCTTTTAATTTAGATACTTGAGTTTTGAAAAGCATTTCTTTCTTCGTCTGTTACCATTGTTTCGTGAAGTGAAGCCCCTTACTGACATAAAAACACCACAATGATAAAATTTAAGTACGATGAGCCTCTTTTTGCTGTGTAAGCAAAATGCCTGGAGCAATAAATTTCCGTTCCTTTTCATGGCTTTGTATTGAGAAAAGTCATTATCTATAGTGATAATAATTTAAAACTGAAACAAACTATGCGGCACCTTTAGGTTTTTGTGTTGCAAACAATGAGCACTTTTACAATGATCTATATCGGAGGATTAAAAGCAATTTTTAGATCTGCTTGGCTTGAATATGTCGGCGAGTATATATATTTGTGCAAGAGATGTACATACAATTTCAAATTGTAATTATCAGATAGTAAAAGCGAAGCTAAGTAAAAAACCGCACAAAAGAGAGCTCATTTTATATATAGATTTTTGCAATCGGTGTCTAAAATATTGTCATATTTTTGGTTGATGATTTTGCATATAAATTAAACGCGAAGTAAAAGCCGACAATGAATTCATTTGAAGGAAAATGCAGTTTATTTATATAGCAAATTTCTTATTTAACGTCACGTGCATTATTTTTGACAGCACGTAACAGTGTTTTGTGTATCCCTGTTGTGAAAGCGAATTATTACAAATCGCCGGCATAAGTTTCTAAAATACGTGCTAATGAATCGCCTTTTTGTGGTTTTCTACTGCGTCGATATAGGCTTTATAAGGCGTATTTCCTGTTGAATTAACAAGGAAACGGATCTTGAAATACGGCAAGTTGACTCACAGATGGACAACTTGAATTAGCTAACAGAATAACGTTGGGGAAGAAACGTCATAACACAACACGAGAAACTTCCTTCCTGCCGGTGGTACGTGATTCAAAGCAGCCTCAGGTGATATTCCTGTCTTCACGTCGCTAAATTTTGAAAATTTTTTGAATTTTTTTATTGTTTTACTGAATAGGTAACACAAAAGAGGGCTGCATAAGAAAGCCAGGAAGTTGTCACGAAAGGATTTTAAGAACAACGAAATGTTGTGCATAAAAGGTACTCATAGCGAATTTTGAATATGAATTCTTATTGTGTCTTTAATATATTTGGTGGGTCTCACATATTGGAAGAAATAAGTTTATTTAAGACAGAGAGGCAATTTTAATGGATACGTCGTTTATTGCATTGTGTCTTAAGAAGGCTGATGATCACGAAAGATGATATAATTCCCTATGATTTAGTTAGTTATATTTGTGGCGCGACCAATTGTATCTTTCCATGTTGAATTTTTCTGTTGCGGGAACCCGATATTGAGACAACGACCTAAATAATATGTCTATTGCATGCAGGTTTAATTATTTCTGTTGATCTAAAAGACATTTTAGCGGGATTATATTCCATTAGATTTCATCTTATCTCGTTATTTTGGTTTCTCTATATTCGTAGTTATAACGTTTTTACAAAGGTGAAAATGTCACTAAGTTGTGAATCACGTTTCGAACTTCACTTCTAACGAAAAACTATGACAAGTTTACAGATTCCATCTGTGTATTTCCTTTGCTAATTTTCTGTTTTATCGCAGCATGGTAGGGGAAGAAGTAAAACAACAGAAAAATAAACGCCTTGAGATGAGACCCTCCGTCGAATTCATTTATGTAACTTTCAGCCAGCCATCTGCGTTTTCTGACATCGCCAAATTGCTCTCAGGCCCCAGATAGGTCATGCTTGTTTCACCGAATTTTAATTAAACGTCTATTTGTATTCTTTAGTTTGCGAATATTAAGCTTTATGCGTCGCCGACTCAGTGGGGCAAAAATACAAGATTATGCTTTTGACACTTGACGTTTTCGTCTTCAAACTTATGTGATTTTAACAATCGAATCCGTGGCGATGTCCTAACCGATGTTAGTAAATTTACGCCTACTCTTTCAACGGTTCTAAAATTTCGTTTCACAATGAAATTCCATCTTGTTTTCTATTGTACTGTTTTGTGTGAACCGCATTGTAATGAATTGCATGTAACATTTGTATACAAAATGGTGCTGATGTGTACAAAGCTGGAAAAACAATACTTTCTCTCTCCCTGTTTTTGCATTTCGCAGTTGTATTCAAGCTCATACCTCCCGTCAAGTAGGTCATATTATTGTATTTCAAGTATTGAATAGTTTTAATTTATAGCATTTTTGTCTGGTTGCCAAAACAAATGATCTCGTTTATGAGGTTTGCACTTTAAAATAATGTAAAACAATACCACAATGGCCTTTTTTACTACCTTTCTTGAATTATTACTATGTACGTGAAAGATCGTATAAGAATGTAAAAGGCAGGCTATCGACTCCAAACAAAATCACTGATCGATAATCCTGCATTTGGCGATATTTTTTGCGAAATATTACGTCAAAACACTTTGTAGCGAAAGAGAAAAACAGGCAATCAAAAACTAATGAAACTCGATTCCGCCATGAATTGTGTTTCTTCCAAGCTAAATTTGCAGTTTTTAAAGGGGACCATGTAAAGGGGAGGGGATTTTTTCTTTTCAGTTCATCGTTTGTTATTGGTTATCGTCTCTCTCAGTTATCCTTTTTATTTTGTTCAGTTATTATCTTCCCTATAATCTTATTTGGAGTTTTCCTTTAATCTCTAAGTAATGTCACACATCCATTACCTTGCGATAGTGCAAGTTAAAAATAGAGTTAATGTATATCGGTCATATAGTACCTGAGATTGTGCTATCTTGTTTTGGGGAATTTCATGTCATATATCAAACACGAGAGACAGTGTTTCATCGGGATATCCAAACACCGAGAAGAGAGTTGAAAATACGATGCGCAGCGGAGTATTTTTTGCGAAATTCGAAGTGTTTGGATAGCCGATGAAACAATGTCTCGAGTGTTTGATATGCGATCTCAAACAAAACAGAAACTAAGGAGTAAACGGAGAAGTAAAATCGTCAAAATCTATGCTAATTAAGACCGGGTATCCAAACCTCCTTCACGGTTGTGATTTTCTTTGTTTTAACTTGATGAATTATTAATGAGTTTGAGAAGAGAAGTTCGAACTTAAAGAATTAGCATTTTAGCGAGGGTGAAAACGTAATTAAATATACAAGATAAGAATCGCGTGTCCAAAAAACTATTTCATGTTATTTGCTATTTCATTTCGCTCTCAGGTTTAATTTCGTAAACGACGTTAAAAATATACGAAAGCCACTTTAAGTTTCGGACATTTCTTAGCGATACACTATCTTTCGCCATTGGTCTCCGACCAAGAACATTTCATTTTGATTAAAAGTAAACAGCTTTTGTTCTCTATTATAACATTTCAGTTTTTTTTCAAGTTTGGCCATTAAAGGATGTTAAGCTGCGACCGCAATTCGTGTTTTGTTATTGAAGTGTTAGAAATAGTTGTCATTTACGCTTTAATTAGAGTTTTCTACCTAACGTAAAGTAGATTTTTCACACAAAGTAAGGCTCCTAGGCGACTATTTAGAAGATAAATTTAAACAATAAACGTGAGCAAAAGTTTCCCGAAAACGTTCCTTAAGCTGTCCTCTACGCTTACCTTTCCAGCGAGAATGACTGGCTTGTTTGGTTCTCCCTGTGAACTGTCCTGTTTGAAAAACCATCAACTAAGGCAATTTTTGAGGGCTGTCAAGTTTTTTCATTGACAACCCGTCTCGTTCAAATAATGCAGCATATCAGTGTTTTCCCAAGGACACCCTGGCATAGAACAGAAACTTAAGAGGAGCTTGTGAGCAAGACAGCTTGAAGGGAAGTTATTAGGAATATTTATTTTTTCTGTATTGTTTTTCAACGTCAGTCGCCTTTATTAGCGTTATTTCAACAGGAAAGCTCGTGTAATTAGTTTGTTTTTTCTTTTTTTTTTGTGGAATTTCTTTACCATATCAAGATTTCCATAGAGACGAGAATTAATTTTAGATGAAAGTGCTCAAGAAAAATACTGAAAATGTAATTTTAGCAATGTCAGGTCAGATATTGCCTAATTTACCCAACCATAGGTCACATTAGCAGAGTAGTCAATGGAAATAAGATAAGCGAATACAAACACCCAAACACCTGCCGAACATTCTGAAACTCACGTTTTCAGTCGTTTAAACATACATGTAATTAAATATTCGGTTGTCTGTTGTTTTTACAGATAGTTTTTCTGTTTTCGATATTTACAATTCTAAATTAAGCTCATGAAATACTTTTTATCTATCTTGTGTTACAAAAACGAAGGCCCACGATTATTTCCCATAGCGGCGTTCATATGTCTGGGCCGCAGCTAATAACAGGTAAACAGAGACACTTGTCTCAGTCATTTCTTTCGTTCATGTTGTTTTTTAGTCATCATTAACGCCCTAAATACCTAAGAAGAGAATTTAACTATGGCCTCAGTCATTATTTTTCATGGACATTGCCTTAGTCATAATCTGTTCACTAACATTGCCTTAGTCATAATTTGTATTTTTTCTGGCTGGGGCCCTTTTCGTGTGTCAGCGTTTGTGGATACCGTTACAGGTAATGCTATGTTTTCATCACCAGTCACAAAATCAACGACGTCCGTGCGTCAATCTTAACTATGATTTGCCCATGCTATGACGTCATACAGTTTCTCCTTAAAATTCACATCACACATTTCTATAATTATCAGTTCATTAAACGACGTAGATTTTGAAAGAACGTGGTAGGAAGAGATTATAAATCAAGTGATTTGGTTAAGATATCAAAGATTATCCAAGATCCAACTACACTGTAGCCAAGACGAAAATGCGATCAAAGCGGGAGCTTTCTGACCAAATTTTGAGTACGCGTATGTAGAGGTTCCTGTTAAGCATGGTAGGAAGAGATTATAAATCAAGTGATTTGGTTAAGACATCAAAGATTATTCGAGTCTAACTGCACTGTAGCCGAAAAGAAAATGCGATCAAAGCGTGAGCTTTCTGACTAAATTTTGATTACGTGTGTGTAGACGTTCCTGTTAAGCACGGAGGTGACTCGAATTAACTAACCAGTATTTACTGTCAATCCTAATAAAACGTAATCTTTGAGCGAATTTTTACCACGCTAGCGAACTAATCATACCATTTTTTTTGCTTTCAGTATCGTCATGCCACAAACCAGATGCATAATTTAAGCGGGCTCCATGCTAACTTTGTACACGAAGACAAGTCAATCAACTGATCTGAAAACATATTGAAGACATGGGAATTGATACATTCAGGTATTTTTGTGTTAATTGAATATAGCACAACAAACGTGATATATAAAGGGAGGACTGGACTTGTAGCGAAAAAGTCTTTTTCAGCATCTTCCCAATTAGGTGTCACAGGCCGTAGGCTGAATTCATATTTAGAGCGAGTTTGCTTGCACTCAGCCGATTGTGAACATTTTACTATTTTAAATAGCTATAGGTTTTTTCTTTTTTCTTTTTTTCTTTTCTTTTTTTTTTTTAGTATTTTCTTCTAATTTAACTCGTTTTTGTTATGTCTCCATATTAGTAGGGGAGTTTTTCCCCAGCTAAGTGGTTGATGACATTCTTAATAAAGTTTCTATCTACCTATCTATCTATCTATCTATCTATCTATCTATCTATCTATCTATCTATCTAACATTATCTAAATCTTCATTTAGATGCAACTGAATATTGTCTGCATTATCACCTGCATATGTAAAATGAGTGTCATCAGCTAGCGTACATTCTGGGCTCACAATTTTCGAATTCCGTTGCTTTCATTTCCGCAGGTCCTTTAGTTTTTCCGCACTTTTTTGATTTTTACGAATGAGTTTTTGCGTCTTTTTGTTTTCCGCACAAGGTGTATGGTTACAATACTGTTCCCATTTCTTTCTGTGGGCAGCATTGCCACGCCTTCCAACTCAAGATCTGTCATGGAGATATGTGTCACGCCAGCGTGCAGTTGCTCATTTGATCTTGTGTATAACGTGACGGTCACTTGTCACACAAACAATGTGGGAAAGGACTTGAAAAGTTTCATAAAGAAGCCAGAGTTAACAGCCGCATTGTAAGTATAGAGAAATATAACATTTATTTGTATTGCTAAACAAGGCTTTAGCCAGGTGAATATTTGGTGACACGGTAGTTTAAATGTTCCTAAAACTTCCTGCACCATGGCACTCTTTCTTTTTCAGTAACGAAGATCACTAAATTTAATCACCATTTAATTTTACACCACCTTTCCTTTTAGAGAAAAAGGTCTTCTTAGCAAAAAATAGCGGACCAAATATGCTATGAATCAAGCCGCCTTTTTGTTTTCTCACAGGGAGTAGGGCACGTAGTTTCCGTTAATACAATACAATACAATACAATACAATACAATGCAATGCAATGCAATGCAATGCAATGCAATGCAATGCTATACTATACTTTATTCAAGAGATACAAATGATATGTTAAAAAATACGTCTTGAAATGGAAATCGTGATGGTTAGCCAGAGCCTATACATGACAATTCCCATAAATAAAACGCCTGTATTTTCTAAGAACTATTTACAAGCCATAACAAAATGCAATATCGATTGGTTTCCAGGTTAAAAATTGTAATACATATTTTAAAAATACTAAGCTAAGAAATATTCTAGAATTTACTTAACGTCCATAAAGGTATCCAGTCTTGATCTAAACTGAGTCAGTGATCCCGCGTGTACAACTTCTCTAGGCAGACTATTCCATGCATTAATTATCCGAACAAAGAACGAATTCTTATAGAAGTTTAGGTTGGCTAGTTTTACATAAAGTTTATAGTTGTGGTTTGCTCTAGTCCCACTATTGTTTGTAAACTCAAAAAATTATGAAAATAAGAGACTATCTATTCCAAAAAGTATCTTGTAGCATTGGAAAAGAGATAAAAATTGTCTTTGTTGTCTTAGTAACCGACTACGGTCTTACTCTTCGTAATTCATGTCTCCGCGTTTCTGCTTTAAAGCTAACCGTGAAGCTCCTCTTTCATCCTTTTCTATGGATTCAATATCTGTTGTTGTGGTCTGGCCTTGTCTTACGGGTTTGTACTTAACGTAGGGTAAACTTCATTGCACCTTTCCTCCTTGGACAGAATTGTCCCAGAAAAATTGCTATGGCTATGTCTAACGTGTAAACTATTTCATTCGCTTTGTTCTTTAGGTCTGTCGTAGATGATAATACGACAACTATTCCAGATGGAACGTTTAGCCTGTTTTCAAATTTGAGGTTCCTGTAAGTATAAGCGACACCAGCTTGTAGCAACACTTTGCCTGCAAAATCAGTAATCAACTCATGTTTGACGAATGCTTAGAAAAGATAGATGAAATAGAAGAGATAGGTAGTTTGGAAAATTATAAAACGCACTGAGTACATGCCACAATTCGCTGCAAAATTGACCATTGACAATGGCTAACGAGCACCCAAGCATTCTGTCATGTACATATAAAAAAGTACATTCAATTTTATTAGTGTTAAAGTATTTTCAATTTAGTATCGTTGTACTAAAAGCGAAGCAATTACAATGGTCAGTGACAATAAATACGGGTGACATGATGAACCAACAGAAACCTGAATTAAGAAAAGTAGAAGCCACTGGCGCCAAGCTTGGATAAACACGCATGTCCTGGTCGTGATTAGGTTTGGTTTTACATCTGATTGGTTAAGGAATCGAGCGGTTTGAGGTTTCTTTAACCAATCACATATCGTCATAAGGAAATATTCAGAAATTCCGGGTTATACGTTCGTCCTTCAATACGTAAATAGGCCCATAGCATAAGTAATGTCCATGGTTGGTGGATATTAGTAAAGGATCTAGCCATGGATATTTTGGTTTTTGTCGGTAACTGTTTTCAAATTTTACAAATATGATGACTGTGGCGTGATAACTAATTTCGCACTAAAAAGTGAAAAATTTCTCTAACGCTACAAAAAAAGTATTTTGATCTCAAAATCCTATCACAGGGACACATAATTTTGAATAGAAATTATCCTTGAAGAGTTTCTTTTTTGTGTTTTTACCTGTCGCCTTGCCATAACTTAAACTGTGACCACACCCTCATTGCCTACAAGAAGTTGAAATTTGAATATGTCCCAGTCGCCATGTTACCTGGAACTAAGACAGCAACGACGTTTTTTTTTTTTCATTAAGTATATCTCTATTTTTTTTACGATGACAATACATTTTATACTATGCTTTCTTTTTTTCAAAGGGAAATTAGACTAAAGAACTTAAAACTCTGGGAAGGAAATCTTTCTCGCGAGCTACCATCCCTTGAGGTTATTTCATTTGTGGCAGATGAGATTTTTGTTCCGCCCGAACACGTCCTTCAAGCACCAAACCTTCGAAATATCACCGGCGTGACATGGAGCACTGCCTGCATCAACGGCACCCTTCTGAGGAATAAAACGCACGTGAACGTGACACGTTTCAGGGAGGGATTCTATGACATATACCCAGAGTCACGCTGTCGTGGTTCACGCCACGTTGTTGGTACTTTGTCACGTAAATTTGCTGAGCATGGGTTCTTGGTCGTGTACGATGAAAAGTGCTTTGCTTCTGAAATGACATTGATTCCAATGCATCGTTGCTATGTCAGCGCGAATAGGGTTCTTTATGCTGAGTACTTTTTGACTCCACTGATAATCATCTTGAACTTGACAGTGTTTGCCACTACAATGACAACGAAGGCTCTCAGAAAACTACCAACGATGCTGTTGGTAGCAAATCTGGCCATGAGCGACTTCTTCATTGGAGTGTATTCCCTAGCAATCACTTTGTCTCGTCACGGATTGTCGTATCCAAGCTTCGTTGAAGTGATAAATCACCTTTGTCCAGCTCTTGGATTTTTGTGGGTTCTTGGGCAATTCGCCGCAACCTTGTCGTCAGTTCTGCTGACAACTGAGAGATATGTGGTTATTATTTTCTCCATGAGGCCAAGTATTTCGTTTACAACGAGGATCTGCTTGTACAGCGCACTTGTCTCTTGGACAATAGCAGTGCTAATGGCGTCGCTTCCACTCTTCCGTGTAGGAACATACACTACTACAACTTTCTGCATACCGATACAACCTGCTAAGGGTATTCCTCACTCGTTTGCCTACAGCACCAGTCTCGTCGCCATTGGATTTCTCCTATACACCATTACACTGCCTATGTATTTCCACATTTTTGTACACGTTCGAAGGTCAGGAAATCAAATGGGCATCAAAAGAGATGGGAAGCTAGCGAAGAAGATCTCAATATTGGTTATTAGCAATCTGACGTTTTTCCTTCTTCCAATTATCATAGCTCTTCTGTGGCTATTTACTCAAACTTTCAACAACGTTTCTTTGCAAACTCGAGAAATTTTGGTGGGCTCACTTACGACAGTTTGCTTCAGCATTAATTCGTTTCTTAATCCTCTTCTTTATGCGTTCAGGGACAGAAGATTTCGATTGACAATTAAACAAAGAGGTTACCGGCTGTTACACCCCAATACAACATTTGTGCAGCAGTTAAACTATAGGTCAGGGGTCGAGACAAGGTCTCAGTTAGGAGATGTGAAACAACACAAGTAAAGTGATAGAAGAGTTCATGAAGACGAAGTTAAAGATTGTCTCGTCATTTCCTCACAGCGAGAAGGTGGATGGAAAGTCACTGGTAATTTTCGAATGGAAAACGCCCCAGGATTCCTGTCTTCTTAGTGGGGCTTTGAAACAGATGAAGAGAAGCCTGTTGGGCCTGCTAATGGCCGTGGATACCCTTCCGTAATCTGGGGTCTCAAAAAGCATTGACTTCGTATCATTGGGACAGTGAAATGGGTCTCCACAGAATCAGCTAGAACACAATTATTCACTGATTTACATTTATGTTGTTCGATGATTATGAATTGGTTGATTTCAGTGAGTGACGCTGGAATTGAGTGAAACTTAACGAACAGTTCCTTGAGCTGTACTTTAGGAAACATTAAGGAAATTACAAAATCAAAGTCTTATTTTTATGAATAGTGACATACCGAGAATCGACATATATATATATTTTTTGCACATTTTAATTATCAGAAACACTTAGATACTGGATGTGAAAAGTGAAAACTTTCCTGGCGTATTGCCTTCCGTATACAGGTGTAATATGTCCCATATATCCCAGCACAATATCAATTTGAATTTGGAATGGATATCAGTTATTTCAGAACGGAAAACATCTGTTTTGACAATAAGCGCGCACCAGGTAGGTAATACAAGTCTAATACTACTGGACTAGCGGATATCTCGAAACTTAAATAAGAAGCTTATTTCCATGTATAGGTCGTTTTCAAGTGACGTCATAATTTTCTAAAATCCAAAACTAAAGAGCCACCAAAGTCATCAGGCATAAGAGGCGGTATATTTATATGTTTTTACAATTTTACAGCTCAATAGTGTTCCTCGTTTGGAAACCAGCGCATTTTGAATTTCAGAGTTATGGCGGTGCGTGACACAAAGCTAGCATCACGTTTGTCGAAAAATGTATACCTATCTCATCATTTTTGGCCTTTTCAGAAGTTAGATCATTAGAAAAAGTGCTAATGTAAATGTTTTGTTGTTCGTTACAGATTATGAGTCACCTAGATAGCCAGAGTAAGTTCCAGATGTTTACATTATTATTTTCCGGGCGCCATATTGGTGCACCATGGAGGTACACCAATGAGGTCGGCACAGACTTCTCTGCTCATTTTACTTTCCCAATCCCACTCATTTCGCAGGTGGTTAAGGACTTTTGAAAAGTCTTTTAAAACCTGCATGGTTGAGGCAGGTGGCCGACCATGTATTCAATTTTGAGTTCAGGCTCCTTGACAATGATGTCTGCCAAGATCTTCGTAAGTTTGAGGACATGCACTACAAAGCATGTTCATTGACAAGTCTCGACACTAAAAAGCTTCTCAGCATGTCAATCTGCAAAAATAACTCGTTTGAGTAACTCTTGCTCATCAGAGGTGTGAAATAAATAACACATTTTTGGGGGCGTTTTGATGAAACAATTATTCAACTCGCGCTTGTTGGATGTGAGATGGTTAAGGCCAACTCATATGCAACGCGCGCTCGTGCAATAATTGTTTAATATTTTAATGAAACATTCGTTCGCTGGCAGAAGTTAAACGCATTTTATCAATAACTGTCATAGAAAATGCACGGGTCTTTTGTTGAAGGACGGTTGCCGTTGCATGGTTGGCAACTAGAGACGAATGAATTGCCAGGCCTCCCCATGAAGCCGTGTTTAATTACGCTTTCATGGTAATGTAAATCAAATTCTTTTTTACTTGAAAGGGTTAAAATTTTGAAACTTAGGTAAGGAATAGACAACTCGAGTATATATAGCGCACACGACTTATGGTGATCGGAGAGAAAAACTGTATGTCTCAGTAAATATATGAGCGAAGTGTCACGCTAGTTAAATAAACGCGAAATTTGAGTATGGCATATGCCGCCATTCTTTTTAACCTTACCAAGGATCCAAATTTATTGACCTCTCAACGATCTGTAAAAGCAGCCAGATGGCCAAAATATATTCCAAAAGTGGAATAAATTAGTAGCACTTTTTCCTTGTTAAACTATTACGGTATCCTCGTTAATAACGGCCGACATTTTTAAGGTGGAAAGCTTTTGCTCCTGAATCAGAAAAAGACAGTAAAGGGTGCAC